AGGTGGGTTGAGGTAGTAAACGTTCAACAACTAGCAATTCCCTGAACTTTTAGTGTCTCACTGTTTTATTCTAACTTAAACTGATAAGAAATTTGGTCTCTTCGATGTGAATAAAGAGCAGAGAAACATGTGCTTCTTGAAAGTATGCATGTATACACATTTATTACACATATGTATGTATATTTGCGATAAGTGGTATAATAAGCAAGTGCTTTTATTTGCTAATCGCCAAAATATGAAGCTTTGTGGTTATGTGTAGAAGTCAGAATTAACAAATTTAGCCCGAGACTTATTTCAGTAAGGTATTTTTGTGTATAAATACATATATACATATGTAGATAAGTCATTGCTAATAAATGTGTAAATTTGTGCTTTACCCACAGAGAGTTCAATATTTTGTTTTTAATTTATTGCGATTGATAACAACAACAATATACTATTGTTTTTGATAAAAAAAATAAACGCAAATATTGACAGCTCATTACGCTATTGACTTATTCACCATTCTCACCTAGCGGCATGTCATGAGTCATTTTCCTATAATACGAAACATATGCGCTCGAAATTCGCACGCCCGTTTCGTAAAATAATTGACATAAAGTTTGTATGTATGTGTATGTGGAGATAAGGATAGTGTAATCATGGCCCCCGTTATCAAACTTCCCTAAAAGTTAAAGACAAAATACTTATTTAATAAAAATATAATTTTTGATGAATATTACTATAGTTTTTAATTACCTTTCAATAAAAACAGAGGATTTAAAAATAGGTGCCGCGAACAGTCTTATCAACTTTTCTTAAATTATATGTTGCTTAAATATGGTAGTCGCGTAAATAAGTTTTCTTATCATTTTAATAAACGACAATATTTAATTCCAAAATTATGCTACTAGCAAATGTTTGTCGTTATAATAACAATAAAGAAACTACTTTTTTGATTAAAAACATTTTAATAATAGTTTTGAAATATACTTTTTAAGATTACAATTAATATTTTATTCAAAAGTTATACTCTTGCAACATGTTGTTAGAGAATATTATAGTTTTGTTCACCTAACGGTATATGTTATAGCAAAAATAGACAAAGAACACTTTAGCAGATTTTTAGTAGATTCAGAGCGTGCTGCCGATAGCTAATATCTAGCCACAGGAGTTTCACAAAGGACCGAACGAACAGTCTACCATAAGTGTGGTTCCTTCGTCAAGGGATCAGACATCTAAGCTAACTTAACCGATCCTTACCTAAAGGTTGTTTGTAACACTTAAAACTAATCGAGATATGTATGTAGATGTAGACTTGATACATGTGTTTCTTGGCATCCAAGAGAGGTTGGTTTTTCAGACGGATAGAATCGATCCATTGCCACGTAAAAATGAACAATGAGCAAGACAGCCCATCTAAGAACAAAATATATATCGTTTCGGTTTGCCTACGCAGTTTATAAGGGGCAGCCTGGAACAAATTTGAACTTAAGTGTGCATATGTATACGATATACTCGTATAATTAAAATTCCTTCAAATTAACTAGATGAACATAACGTGTCACCCTTTGGAAAGTACATATATAGTCAATATATATAATGTATGTAAACTTAATTATCTAACTGAAAAGTGTTCAATTTGATCGGCCGAACTTCAATCGAATTACACACGAAGTCATCCCTAATCATTACTGTTTAAGTCGTAAAACAACGACTATAATATTTAACAGATTTTTAATTGAACGAAATAGCTATTAAAGCATGTAATTAGAAATTTGTTGTAGTTATATACATATGTACTATATATTCTCGATTAAACGGCGAAACTGGCTCTGTGTACTGTTTTACATATTTTATTGTTTCAAACTGAGCAGTTTAGTAGGCCCGTGTGGGTATCCCGCAAGTCACTTCCATATAGTCCATTGTGTTTTAGAACGTAAAAATATTCCCTTTTAAACATTTTTATTAGCTTTTAAGTTCAGGAATTTACATTAAAAACGACCAATTTGCATTTTCCTTATTTTGTCTTCTTATTTTTTGCTAAGCAATCTCAAAATATCATAACCTCTTTTATATCAGATATACAGATGCGCGCAACTAATTAACAACGCTTTCTTTTTTTTCTGGAAAAATTATTATTTTTTCGGGTTTAAAGTTAATATTTGGCTCAACTAAACTTTGGCAAGATGTCCTTCGGAGTATTATTCCATTATTGTTTAACTTTTTAGTATAATTTCAGGAAATTTCCAACAATTTCCAATATATAGCACCCCAAGTCAGTATGTAGCCACCACCATGTTTTAAAGTTAGCCTAGTGTATTTGGGGTCCAAATCCTTGACTGCGGACATATCTTTCATCGAAAAATAATACTCTTTTTCATTTTCTTGCTGACCAATGTGGCGGTATTTCTTTGCAAACTCTAAGCAGCTCCTTTGATTGCGTTCAGAGAGTAATGGCTTCATCCTTGAAACTCTTCCAAAGAATCCTGCCTCGCGTAATCGTCTTTTTACGGTAACTACAGATAGTGCATCTGAGTTTTTTCCGAAAACTGCAACCCTTAAAGTTTTACACAAATCGTCGTTTAATTTATAGGGGCAAGTCGTTGTTAATTAGTTGCACGCATCTGTACATATATATGTACATATGTATGCTTGCATTTATATAACACATATCCATATATGCATATTCATATTTACAAACATATATTTGGATGTGTGTGCTTATACATATGTATACAAAATTTGGACGATGATTATACAAAATAGTCTGGTGACTTCGTATACTTATAAAATATGGATAATGTAAATATGTTTACCCAAGAAAATATAGTTTATAAATAGGTATGCGTTTCCACATTCCTAAAATTCGCAACTTTTTATAGTTAGCGTTGTTATTGTATTAATAATTATGCTCGGCGTTTTTTTGACATTTTTTTTTTTTTTGTTTTTGTTTACGATTTCGTTTTAATTTAAATTACCACAGCTTTTCTCCGTGTTGCCAAGATTTGCGCAAACTCTTTTCGGTGTCCTACCTTAGTTTGGCATACAGACATACACACATATGTATATGAATAAGGTCAATGCAAGTTTTTCGAATATTTTTATACATATGTACATACATTTAGTATAAGCTCTACAAATGTATATATGCATATGTGTTGAATATTTGTTTACAACCGACTTTTATTATAATTGCCTTATCGATTGAATATTGATTATTTTCAAAATTTTTTTTTTTTTTTTTTTTTTTTTTTTTTTTTTTTTTTTTTTTTTTTTTTTTTTTTTTTTTTTTTTTTTTTTTTTTTTGTTTTCCAACCATTTTTGTGCTATTTTGGTCAAATGTCAGTTTAATTTCGAACATGTGGCACCTTTCATTGAAACTCCCACACTATTTCTTCATGCACGCGCTCATTTCATATGTAAATGCGTGTGGTGGGTTGAAATAAAAATACCGTTAGGTCAATCGCTCGCCATTCTCGGTTAGTTCAATATGATACCTTTTTTATATTTATTTCCTGAGCATACCATTTGCATAAGATTCATCTCTAAGTTTTACTTACTTTCGTAGACACCTCTTACGCGGTTATAGCCGAGTTTACAACAGCGCGCCAGTCGGTTCTTCTTCTCGCAATTTAGTGCTATTTCGTCTTGCCTTCGTTCACCACCAGACCCATTTGCTTCGCTGCCTTATCCATTTTAGAGAAAGCAGAACTATCGGCATGGTTGTTCAACACCATCAGCATACGCCAGCAGCTGTAGACTCTTATAGAAGATGGTGCCTCTCTCTTCAGTTCTGCAGCTCAAATTATTTTCTCCAGAAGTAGGTTGGAGAAGTCACGCGAAAGAGACGAATAGGTGGTGTGTGTCGATTCTCCTTTCACGGGTCTTTTCCAAGATTTGGCGCATGGTGAATATCTGGTCGGTTGTTGATTTTCCAAGTCTGAAGCCACACTGATAAGGTCCAATCAGTTTATTGACGGTGGGCTTTAATCTTTCACACAATACGCTCGATAGAACCTTATATGCGATATTGAGGAGGCTTATCCCACGGTAGTTGGCGCAGATTGTGTGGTTTCCCTTTTTGTGGATTGGGCAGACCACACTTAAATGCTTTCATCCGACCATATTCTTCAAAGAAGCTGATACATGCTCCTTATCAGTTCTTCGCCGCCGTATTTGAATAGTTCGGCCGGCAATCCATCGGCCCCCCGCGCTTTGTTGTTCTTCAGACGGGTAATTGCTATTCGAACTTCTTCATGGTCTGCTCCATCGTCAGCGGTTAGGAAATCAGGTGCGCCGACTTTTACGCTTTCACTGCGATTCAGCAGGTTGGAGAATGTTTTCTCCATAATTTTGGTATGCTGTTGGCATCAGTCACTAGATTAACTCCGGGGATTCTACAATAGTTTTGACAAATACTTGAATAGTTTTTGGATTATTATAAATAATGAAATTCCTAAATCTAAATAAATATACGCTTCAATAACGAAGATAGCACTTTGAAAATTACAGTTAGTAATTAAATTTATATTTTGTATTATTTTATTTTATATTTTTTTATTTATTAATATTATTTTTTATATTTTATACATAAAAAGTAGGTGTCTCCGACATTGCAACTAATAATTATTTTATAATAGCTTAAATACATTTGTTATCAGCAGTATTAATCACAATTTTCATTTCCCTAATCTAAAATAGATTAGTTGAGTTGTGACTTGGTCAATAAATACTAATCAGCCGCCAATTTGAATATCGCACCAACTAGTGTTGCAATTACAAAACAAAACATTAAAATGTCTATAAATATATTGAAAATAAATAAAGGGGGAACATGTGATTTAGCTATGCTGATAGAATTGGATTATATTATATAATATTATAATGTACATATGTATATTAGAAGCAAACGAGTACCTTTTTTATTCTCTTTTTATTTCTATTCCACACACTTTTAACACATAATTTCTACTACATTTTTATTAATCATCTTTTGTCTTTCTATTTGTCCATTTCAGATTCCAACTGCGCGGTCCATTAATTATCTGGAATACAATGCTCGCCATGTTCAGTATTATGGGTGCCTTTCGAACGGCACCAGAACTTCTGCATGTGCTGCGTCATTATGGCCTTTTCCATTCCGTTTGCGTTCCTAGGTAAGTGCAAATTCGAATTAATTTAATGCTTGTTATCTTAAACCACACTTGTTTTATTTTACATGCCCATTCACTTTGCTCATGCTCAAGCGGCAGCACAGGCGCTCGTCATGAAATCTTCTTCTTAGTTCAATTCCTGAAATGATTTCGCTCTTGTAATTCTTAGCTTGCCAGCCAGTTTAGCGACTTTCATTATAAATACGGAAAATTTTCGCAATTCATCCTTGGCAGTCATTCCGTATCGGTCGTCTATAATTTGTAGCTAATAAAAGCTGACCATAAAGCGGCTAAGCAATGTCAACAGACGTTCTAGGCCTGCCGCTCAAGTCCATCCATCCATAAGCAAGTATAAGTGTTGTTGTGTAAATTTTGGTGGCCATGACAATTGCCTGACCTTGAGTTTGTTCATCATGACGCAGATTTGCGCGCGCCGTTTACTGTTACAGCTTCGATCGAGCCGAGCCGCGCCTGCCACTCAGCGCATACACGATATTTCCAATTTGGAAACTGGTTTTGCAGCTTTTCAGCTTTTCTGCTGCTTTGTTTGTTTTCATTATGATTTTGCTTTAATATTCCTTCATTTAAATTTACGTTGTTGCGTATTTGAGTTTGTACGATTTCTGCTTTCACAGCTGATACTTACAAAAGTATATACACACCTGTAATATATTCTTTAGCGAGTGAACCGAAAAAGTTGTTCTTAAATTCTGCGTTTCGGTAAACCGGACGCAGACCGGCACCGGTCGTGCTCAATCTCGTGCTAAAGTTTTACACTTTTAGCACGTTCGTTTGCGGTGTCTCTCGTGTTTTGGTTTGATGAACTGTCTGTGCTGAGCTCACACATGAACTTTCATATGTATTTATTCATATATCATTAAGTTAATGTTTTTCTGCTTACTGCTGTGGTCGCACTGTTTGTTTTATTTACTTTTTATTTATGTCAGCTATTATACATACAATTAGTACTTATTAGCTAATTTCCACTTGCTTTGATCCTATCTTACTTCGTTAATGTGTTTCTTATATGATTTTTGCCACCTTAAACAAAAGCACATACATATGTATGTACGGTTTGGCAAATTCTAAGAATCCGACTGTTCTTTTGAGTCTTACTTTTTCTTCACTTGGAATTGCTCATTGTTCTTTTCGCGCTTAAAAGTAAAATAAATAAAAGCTTATTCACTGTGTAATCTCTATGAGGAAGGGAGGAAGAGATGTTTTATTCTTTTTTATACTTTTTTCTACACTCCATTTAACTCTTTTACAATTATATGTACATACATTTTTATAACCACACATACAAATTGCAATTTAATTTTTGTCCATTTTATTCGCAGCTACATCGAACAAGACCGCGTCTGCGGTTTCTGGACCTGGTTGTTTGTGCTCTCCAAGCTGCCCGAACTCGGCGATACAATATTCATTGTATTGCGAAAGCAGCCGCTCATTTTCCTGCACTGGTACCACCACATCACTGTGCTCATCTACTCTTGGTTCTCGTACACCGAGTACACCTCGTCGGCGCGTTGGTTCATCGTCATGAACTACTGCGTCCACTCGGTAATGTACTCGTACTATGCGCTGAAGGCGGCGCGTTTTAATCCGCCGCGCTTCATTGCCATGATCATCACGTCGCTGCAATTGACGCAAATGATTGTCGGCTGTGCGATCAATGTGTGGGCCAATGGCTTCCTCAAGACGCACGGACGTCAATCGTGCAACATCTCACAGACCAACATCAACCTATCGATTGCGATGTACTTCAGCTACTTCGTGCTCTTCGCGCGCTTCTTCTACAAGACATACTTTTCGCCGGCCGGCAAGAAGACACGCCGCATGGCAGCATCTTTGGCTGCGCAAAACACCGCCAAACTCTCATCGCCCAGCAGTGACATGTCGTCGAAGTCGTCGCTACTATCCGACAGCAGCAATGGCGCACTGAACGGCAACGCCGCCAACGGTGTCGCTGCGTTTCTGCACAAACCAAAGTCGCAGTAAGCCGGCGACGGCGTCAACGACGGCATCGGCGGTGTTGGCAAAGGTTATATTGTTTTTTTTTTTCTTGTTTTTGGTGGGATATTTTAGCGGGTGCCGAATGGTGAATGAAAGCGTTTGAGATATGTATTTTTGGAGTTCGTGAGCAATGGATAAGTCAAAAGTCAGTAGTCAGTAGTGTGTACGTTTTAGTTTTCTTTGATGGAAGTGCGGGTCAAAGCATACATACATACCTAGGTTACATACATATACGTGCGTGCATGTGTAGTTGCAGCGAAAGAAACTAATTAGCGACAGGCAGGAAGGGGTGCCAGTGTGTGATGCAGCGAAATTTCAACAAAACAAGCCTGTATTCAATAAATTGTAAAAGAACAACAAAACAAATGATTAAACTGAAGAAGAAGAACAAATTTATAATGAATGAATTTTGAATATTTTTAATCCAATTTGTAATACGTATATATGTGTGTATATACAAGCAAAAGAGAACAAACAAAAACAAAAAAGAAGATATTTTTGAAAAACTGAAATTGTAAATTTCACTTGGGCTCTCATTTAAACCAATATTTGTGATGAGCCATATGTGTACCCATCAATTTTCCTCGAGTTACATTAGGTATTTTGTATATTATATACATGCATGTGTTGCACACATTAAAATCACCTTAAACAACAAAATGTTAAGCAGCAAGTTTTGCATTAAAACTATTACTTACAACTGTTCGTGTGTTTATCAGTATATACTATGTAGTTCTGGGTTTGTTTGCAGCAACAAAAAAACATGAAAACAAACACGCAAAGGTCCTATAAAATATTTATTGCCTGCAAGTTTCAATTAACCGTTTAACGATGACGTTTATTGATACGCGAGAAAATAAAAATATTTGCTATTTACTTTTTAAAATCACAGTGAAAATCATGAATTGATCAAGTGTATATGTATGCATATTAGCTCTTCTCCCTCTCTCTTTCGCTCCCTGTACATGCGTTATCTTTAGTTATTAATTAACGTAATAATTAAAAAGCAAAGCTGAGGTTGAAAGACAAGCGCTGAGGCACTAAAAATTTAAGTTTTTGTTTTAATCCAAATTGTCATTGGGTCATTGGGTCGGTCACAAGCACAAAATATCAAAACACATATATCATTTCTGGAAATAAAGTCAATTTTGTGTGGCATTGCTGTTGTTGAGAAATTATTGAAAACACGTTACCGCTATTTTGAGCTTCAAATATAAACTGAAACTTGGCGACGTGCCTAAAAGCATGCTATAAACAGAGTAATATGCATGAGAGTTTTTATAACTGTTGATTAGCGTTAAGCTGTGCTTATTTTAGGAATCTAACATATTTATTTCAATGCTTGGAGGTTTGAATTTTAGCGTAGAAGCAGTGCAGAAGCTCCACAGACACATACTCGCTGAGTTCGCTTATATACATAGTTGTATTTTACTAATTAAAATATATTTATTAATTCATTTAATATATGTAATTTTGTTATTTTTATAGACAAACTGCAAATGCAAATTTCTTATTCTTACTTGGCAAATGACTGTCGCAACTTCTAACACAAAAAACAATTGAACTGCAAACATTTCGCACAAAGTTAAGCTTTGCACTCTTCAAAACATTCGAAAACAATTTATGAAGACAAATTTGGATTTTTTGTTTTATAAGTAATAAAGCATAAATAATATTGATCTACAAGCTCAAATTACATCACATTCTTTTGGAGTTTCGTTGATTTAGCTAAAAAATTAATTTTTAATTTTTAATTTTTTTTTATTGAAAAACAATTTTAGTTTTTATTGAAAATTGTTTACTTT